GAATATTTGAGAATTGACTTTTTAAATTTGTTTATGAAAAAATATATAGAAAGAATAGAGAATGATCTGATGGTTTGTAATAATTTTTTAATTTTTTTTACTGAAAACCTAAATTTTTGAATAGAGCTTTATTGTCACTGTTATCACTATCATCATTCATACCACTATAACTATCCTTAGTGATTGATCCGTGTATGTGTATTTTCTCTTATAGTGCCATTTCAACAACTAATTTCAAATTCCGATAGCATATACACAATTTGTTTCCATTTCTCCCACTTAGCTTTGTCACACTCCAAATCCGGACATAACCGATCATGGCCTATAAGGTCTTAGCCCAAGGCATATATAAGTCTAAACATGAATCTATAATCACATTGAATAAATGTAACAATAGTCTACTAGTAAATAAACCAAAATTCAATCCAGTGACATGTCACAAGTTTAAACGGGCAAAACCAATCCTAATCAATACCATCCAAACTAATGAGATACAAACAAACCCACATAACAAAATAATCTTAAATGAATCTCAACCAAAAAGTACGCACAAAATTGGCATAACAATCTAAAACAATAAATAAATAAATGTCCTAGAGGTCTATAAAATCGAGTCTTTGCTAAGCCATGAGTCCATTCTAAGTCCTCTCAACTAAAAATGTTAAACAATTAAGTTAACTGATAACTCAGTGAGTAAAAGCATGTATAGTAAATACAGTTATGAAAACAAGGTTTCATTCCAAAATAAGATGTATATAACAGAAATTAGATTGACATACAGTTTTGATAAAGATAATCTATTTCAAAAACAAGGTTCCACAATTTAGATAAAAATATCAATGTCAAGAGCACAACGAATGAGATTCTCCGCTTAAAAAAGATAACAACATGATCATCATTATAATTTAGGAACCAAAAATAGCAAGTAACATGCCACAAAGTTCTCAAGGCAATAAGCCCATTGGATCCAATATCAAACCAAGAGTCATCCTCGAGGTGGCAACTCGGGCATTTTCTCTAAGACGATCCGATTGAAGGTCACCTAACCTAGCTTAGGTCTTTTTCTTACATTCGTTGAGCACTAGAGTCATCACAACCCAATTCAGATCTATTCCCTAGTGGCCAGAGTCACCACACATAGTGAAATAAATTCCTTGGACTTTTATATACAGATGGTTCCAATAATCACTACAATTCAATTTCGCAAAATGTGGTAATTCACCATTATAAACATGAGACTATTTCAAACAGTTTATAGTACGCCAAGTTTACATATGTTTCAGAAATAATTTAATTTCATTGATAATATAATAATTTTATCAAAACAGTTTAATCCTAAAACAATAATTTAATTTTCCAACAATTCATGGTAGGAAAACATTTATAAAAAGATGTAACATGCAACTACTCACCTGAAAACGAAATAATATAATCCTTGAATAGAGTATAAAAGCCCAATTAGTGTCCTGAACCAAGTATGAAAACTACACGTCAATACTAATTTAAAAATACTAAAAAGAATAATAAATTAAGTAACCCCAAACTAAAACGAACTAACATGGCTCAACCCAACTCACCGTTACTCTTAAATAATACCTAAGTTATTGTTCTTCAAGGTCTCAAATTACTAAAGACATGGGTTCAGATCGAAACTTAATTAAACGTGACTTTGAGATAAAAAAGAATTTTAAACAGATTTTCCCAATATATTCACTGACTTTGAAAATTAAAAACCGACTCTACACCATTTGAAAAATTCCAAAACCCTTTAGATATCAAATACTACATCCTAAGTTTCAAACCCAATTGATTTTACTAGATTTGCTTATCAAAATAATTATTTATAATTAATTATGTCAAAACAGGTTACTTTCTGCGGCACTTTAAAAAAATTGACAATTCTCTTAATATACACGAGCAATCAACGCAAGGAAAAAAAAATGTTAAATACTAGACTCGCAACTGGTTCTAATGACACTAATTTCATAATTTTTGGATTTATACCCAAAGAGAACGACACTTCTAAAGTTACTGTTTTGTACTAGTTTTTTGGACAGATTTGAACACATCAATTTATATGGATTTTGACTCCCAAAAATTATGAGAAAATTCTATAATGAAATTCAATATGTAATAAGCTACAGTAAAAATTTTGATTCAAAATTCATCTATTTGATATGATTTCTTGATTTTCAAAGTTTGTGTTCATGTGCAAAATTTTTAGACTACAAATTGCATCCATTCTTTATTTACCAATCACCAATTTGACACCTAATCATGGCACCAATAAGCCATTTCTCCTTTTCTTTTCCAACAACAAACAGAACACACACATGAACAAGAATAGATATTGTAATAACCCGACCCTCGTATGTGATTGTGTGATATATTTTAGTCAATTATTCTGAGCCTTCAAATACTTAATGTGAAATTTCAGGAGAAATTAAATTTACGTATTCAAATGTTATGAATTTAACATGTATCTGTTGGGCAATGAGAGTATCTGTCACACCTAGAATGGGTAAATCAGAGATTGAGAGTCTTAGAGACTTGGTAATCTAAAACAGACTTCGTATTTGGAAACAGCATAATTTTTAGGTAATAATAAGCATATTTGCAGAAATTTGATTTGGGAATGATTAAACGATTGGATTTTGTCTTATTCCTCCTTTATAATATATATATGAGCTCTTGGGCCATTTAATCAAAAAGCCTTTTAAAATCAAAATAGCTTCTAAGGAAAAAGACTAAGGGAGAGAAGAATTGAGAGAGTGGAGCATCAAGAAGGTTAGAGATTTGCAAATTGAAGTGTAAGGTATGTAGATGTCTATTTTGTTCTCATAATCATGTTACTTAAGGGTTGAGATTGTGGTGCTATGTGTGTGTAAGGAGGGAATTGGCAAGATAACCATATGTGTGAATGTTTTGATTGAATTTGAAGTAGCTACAAGAAGCTACACTCCCTCCTCCAATTCTTTTGCTTGGATTCAATTATATGACATGGTTTTTTGCATGTATGTTTATGTTAGAACCTCGTGGGAGTGTATGTATTTATGAGTTTATGTTTGTGAGTTATGAACTTAAGAGTAATGATCTAACTTATAATTGATCTTTAATCACATGAATTTGGGACTTTAAACTATCAATTTATGGTTAAATTTTGAGGCTCTAAACATACCTACAAAGGATGAAACTTTGAGGAAATTTTCAGACTTTTTGTGCAGAATCGCCGCACGTGCGGGGGTCAAGGCCGCACGTGCGGGAACCCCAGCCGCACGTGTGGGGAAAAATGGCAAATTTTGGTGTTCAACACTGCTAAAAAGGCACGTGCGGGGCATCACTGCCGCACGTACGGGAGACTTTGCCGCACGTGCGAGGATCCTAGCCGCACGTGCGGCCCAGGCCAGGAAACACGGGTTGCTCTGTTTTCGGTGTTGGCTCCTCTAACGTTGTCGAAACCTGCAATTGATGTTGTTATGATGTTCATTAATTTAGTCGAAGTAAAATGAATCAAGAAGTGATTTAACAAGAAAGAGGAGAACTAATTTATGTGTTGTGCATGTGTAGGACACGCTTCAAGAGGATCAAGTGCCCCGCCGCAAAACAGTGAGTAATAGTACTAGATATACCTGAATCACATTAAGTGTTGTTGTTATTAACGTTGTCTTTAACATATATGCTACTTGGAAAGAGATTTAAAGTTATGAAGTTGAGAAACATTGTGAAGTTGTGAAAATACCAAACGAACTTGTGGAATTATAAAATTCAGACAATGTGAAACTCTGGAAACACCGAAAGAACTTGTGAATATGAATTTATGTGGCCGAGAGCCAACTTGTGAAATGTGAACCTATGAGGCTAAGAGCCAACTTATGAAATATGAATTTAAGGGGCCGAGGGCCAAATTGTGAAACTATGATTCTAAGTTATGAAATTATGAAGCCAAGGGCTAATTGTGAACATGTGAACCCCTCAGGCCAAGGGCCGATTGATGAGATTGTGAACCGATAAAGTTGTTCGGTAAATGTGTACAGATTAAGACTCGCTACATGATTTCCGCATTACTTATGCTTTTATGTGTTACAATGTTAATGATGTATCGAAGCATTTTAATACTATTATTCACCGAGCCTGGCTCACTCTATGTTATGTCTGTTTCTGTAGGTAACCAAACCGGAGGTCGGTCCTAGCCCTGCCACTGTCACGCTTTTGTCAGCCTAAGCATAGCCAAACCTTTAATTGAAGCTGTTCATTTTTGTGGTGTTTCGCTAAACTATGGCGTATACTCTTGTTTTTGGCTTAGGAGGAAATGTATATAATGTTTTGTTCTGCGCCCAATCTTGGGGCTGGTTTTGTATATGTATATGTATATATATCTACTTCTCATGTGTATCCTTTATATCTACAAATTTTATGTGGTATCTGTGATCCTGGCATGAAAGTAATCGCTCAATGGGTGTCATACTTTTTTTTATTTATCTTTTGATGATAACGCTTCCGTTCAGGCCCCTATGTTATATATATATATATATATATATCAGGTTAAGTGTCTATTTCTGCTTAGGTCATGCCCGACCTTTTAGGGGCAGGGTTGGGGCATGACAGTGGTATCAGAGCACGAGTTGCTATCTCACACACGAATCATTGAGCCTTAGGATGTCTAGAAAAGACTTAGGCATCATGCATGACATCCTAAAATGTATGAAAGATTGATGGCAACATTTAGTGTACTTTACTAATGTTTACAATTTGAATTATGTTATTGGATATACTTGAATGTTATGAAGGTTATGGTGAAAACAAGTACAGAAGATCTGGAAGATGCTACTGTAGCACGGTTGGACCGAATGGAAAGAATGATGATGGAAATGGCGGAGACTTTAAGGCAACAACAACAACAACCGCAACCGCAACCGCCACCGCCACCGATACCCCCACCCGTAGTGTAGGATTTTCATGCTGAGGACCGAACTATTACACTTACGAAGGAGTTTAAGAAGATGAAGCCCCCTTCATTCAAGGGAGGGATAGAACCAATGAAAGCTGAGGCGTGGGTGTTGGGAATCAAAAAGTTATTTGAAGTCTTTCCTTGCACCGAAGCCCAAAAGGTGCAATTGGCTGCCTTCACTCTTGAGGATGAGGCGCGGAGATGGTGGATGCTCACAAGGACCATACACCCAGGATTAACATGGGGTAGATTTCTAGAGTTGTTCTATGACAAATATTTTCCCCAGAGCGTACGGGATAAGAAGGTGACAGAATTTGAAACTCTTAGACAAGGAAGTAAGACCGTGGCAGAATATGAAGCTCAATTTGCAGAATTGGCTCAGTTTGTGCCTCATATGGTAGATACGGATTATAAGAAAGCACGAAAATTTGAAGGGGGATTACGGGTGCTATCCTAGACCGGGTCAATATGTTAAAGCTACCTACTTATGTCGATGTGCTAGAAAGGGCCGTTATAGCAGAAGGAAATCTTGCTGCTCAGAAACGGACTTCCGAGTGGAAAGGGAAGAGGCAAAACAATCAATGGTCAAGGGGATTAGTTACTCCACCAAATAAGAAGCTCAATTCAGGGAACTCCAGCACCACCACCCCTGCTCAAAACTCCAGCCCTGTGTGTCCAGACTGTGGAAGGCAGCATCTTGGACTTGCCACTGGAAGACTAGAGCTTGTTTTAAGTGTGGTAAAATGGGTCATTTGGTAAGGGATTGTCCATAGTGGACTCAACAAAAGGGTACTAGGACTACCACTAGTTCCGCGAGATCTATACCAACCCCCAACGCAAAGGTAGCTGCTAAACCTACTAACAATAAAGACACTACAAGGCAAGGTAGAGTGTTTGCATTGGTTCCAGGAGATGTACAGAATGCGGCAACAGTGGTGTCAGGTACATTTATTGTTCATGGTCATTCTGCTCATGTATTGTTTGATTCTGGCTCCACCCACTCTTTTATGTCAAAACTATTCACTCCTAATTTAGATAAAACTGAAGAAAACTTGTCTTATATGTTATGTGTGTCTTCCCCTTTGGGAGACTCTATGATCTGTACTTCTGTATACTTAGCTTGTGAACTTCAACTTGGGGATATTCGGGTGTATGCTAATTTGCTACCTCTCGACATGACCTACTTTGATGTTATTCTGGGAATGGATTGGCTGAGTGATTATGGTGCAACTATAAACTGCTTGACTAAGAAAATCAGTTTCCACCCTCTGGGACAATCAGAGTCTATTGTTCAGGGACAGGAAGTGACTTCGCCACCTTATTTGATTTCTGTAGTCAAGGCTTGTAAATTATTTCAGAAAGGGTGTCAGGGGTATTTCTGCAGTATTTTGGAGGGACAAGTGATGAATGGGGATATTGATATGATTCCAGTTGTTCGTGAATTCCGGATGTCTTTCCCGAAGAATTGCCAGGGCAACTGACAGACCGCAAAATTAAGTTTATAATTGATGTGGCGTCGGGAACTCAACCTATTTCCAAGACTCCGTATAGGATGTCGCCAGCTGAAATGAAAGAATTAAAGATTCAATTACAAGATAGAGATTTTAAAAGTTTTAACTAGTACTTCAACTCTTTCAAATCACACTACTCTTAGAATTACAAGTATTTGAATCTTTTGCTTACTTCTATCGCTACTCTAATTTGAAAATGAATGACATAATGAAGATATGAAGTAAATGAATTTTGATTTGACGGAGTCTTGTCCCTCATTTCTTCGATTGTCCTTGTTTAATAGTTTCTTGACCTTCCCGTAACCATCAAAGGGATTCGAATTGCTTCACATGTCCCCATGATCATCCTTAGTGTCTTTTGCTAGCACGGCACTTGTATTTGAATTCAAATTCTTCCTGTAACTACTCTTTTCTAAGTACTTATCTTTTCTCTACGTCGTACATTGAATTGTCTTTTTCAAAAATTTTCACGTGTCTTCTCTGATTTATATACCATTATATATATATGCGTACATATATATATCGGGGTATTATGGTTGCCGCATGTCTTTCTTCTATTGGTTAATTTGGATTTGGCGCAAACACATATAGAAACAAATCTATACTATTATTATAAATTACAAATTACACACCTTTGAGGTTGAAACTCCCTATTTATTTCTTAATTTTTTGAAAACTTTGTACAATGAAAATTGTTGTAGGTCTAAAGATAAAAATTTGTATAGCTTTACATTGCGTTTCTGACCTTTTAATTTAAATTAAATTTGATTTCCATATAAAAAATGAATTTGAAAAATGTCCATTAATTATTTGGAGAGAATGAGATATGGATTTTAACCAGTTTAAAAGGCTTGGCTAAAAGTAGTTGTCAAATCAATTTTTTTAATTATTTTTATCAAAAATTTTCATTGGTTTATCCGATTCAAGTTTAATATTAAAGCAAAATATTAACAAAATAATATATTGACTACACATTTCAAAAATATGTTATCTTACTCCAACTTCAAGTTAGAACTCTTAAATTACCCAAAAAAAAAAAAAAACATTATAGAGAAAAGAATGATATAATTCTAACTCCGTAAGTTAGAAAAAAACCAAAGAACACAAAGCAACAATTGTAAAGGCTATTTGACACAATCTTAATTCATCTTGGAGTCATAGCAACCTCCATTGCAACCAAGCTACCACCACCTCAACCCCAATCACGCCCCAATTCATGCATGAAACGGCACGTGATATTGGCACGGCTCAATCAAACCGCATAGTCGAGCCATTGATCAACATTGTGGTTAGGTTAAACCGCACCAATATCTCGAGGCTTTGTTCCACCTCAAGATGGACTGGATACTTGACATAGTGGTGCAGCTCAATCAAACTGCAAAGTCGAGTGATTAATCGACATTGTAGTAAGACTGAACCGCACCAATATTCCAAGGCTTTGCTCCACCTTAAAAATGAACTATGTACTCAATATATTGGCATGACTCAATCAAACCGCAAAGTTGAGTCATTAATTGACATTGCAGTTAGATTAAATTGTACCAACATTCTGAGACATTGCTCCACCCCGACATGGATTATGTACTCGGTATATTGGTGTGGCTCAATCAAACCACAAAGTCAAGCCACTGATTGACATTTTGGTTAGATTGAACCGTACCAATATCCCGAGACATTACTCCACTTCAACATAGAGTACATACTCGATATATTAACGCTACTCAATCAAACTTTAGAATGTAGCCATTAATCAACATTATAGTTAGGTTGAGCCACACCAGTATCCCAAGACAATGCTCCACCTCAACATAAACTATGTATTTGATAGCACAACTCAATCAGACCATAGAGTCGAACTATTTATCGACATCGCAGTCGAGTAAGGATCCTCTAAAGTTTTTTTTTCCTAAAGTTTCCTAAAGTGGTGCATTGTGTGGTTGAGATTTAATGACAAGTCACATCAATTTTTCAACATTAAATCTCAACCACACAATACACCACTTTAGGAAACTTTAGGAAAAAAAAACTTTAGAGGATCCTTACTCGACTGCGATGTCGATAAATAGTTCGACTCTATGGTCTGATTGAGTTGTGCTATCAAATACATAGTTTATGTTGAGGTGGAGCATTGTCTTGGGATACTGGTGTGGCTCAACCTAACTATAATGTTGATTAATGGCTACATTCTAAAGTTTGATTGAGTAGCGTTAATATATCGAGTATGTACTCTATGTTGAAGTGGAGTAATGTCTCGGGATATTGGTACGGTTCAATCTGACCATAATGTCGATTAGTGGCTTGACTTTGTGGTTTGATTGAGCCGCGCCAATATACCGAGTATGTATTCCATGTTGAGGTGAAGCAACGCCTCAGGATATTGGTGCGGTTCAACCTGACCACAATGTCGATCAGTGGCTTGACTCTGTGATTTGATTGAACCGCGCCAATATACCGAGTACGTAATCCATGTCGGGGTGGAGCAATATCTCATAATATTGGTGCAGTTTAATCTAACTGCAATGTCAATTAATGACTCAACTTTGCGGTTTGATTGAGTCATGCCAATATATTGAGTACATAGTTCATTTTTAAGGTGGAGCAAAGCCTTGGAATATTGGTGCGGTTCAGTCTTACTACAATGTCGATTAATCACTCGACTTTGCAGTTTGATTGAGCTGCACCACTATGTCAAGTATCCAGTCCATCTTGAGGTGGAACAAAGCCTCGAGATATTGGTGCGGTTTAACCTAACCACAATGTTGATCAATGGCTCGACTATGCGGTTTGATTGAGCCGTGCCAATATCACGTGCCGTTTCATGCATGAATTGGGGCGTGATTGGGGTTGAGGTGGTGGTAGCTTGGTTGCAATGGAGGTTGCTATGACTCCAAGATGAATTAAGATTGTGTCAAATAGCCTTTACAATTGTTGCTTTGTGTTCTTTGGTTTTTTTCTAACTTACGGAGTTAGAATTATATCATTCTTTTCTCTATAATGTTTTTTTTTTTTTTT